TGGACTTAGAAAAATTCCAATTATTTGCAGTTTCTATTCATTTTCTTCACAACCGTTGCACATTGAAATTTAGTATTAAATATCTGTCAAATTCTGTTTTGCATACAATTGTGCCATTTTTAGTTTTGCCCCTTGGATGGAAAAAAAGGGGGGCATAAGTGTTTTACAAACATCTCTTGTTTTTTTGTTTTTTTTTTACAAAATTAATTGTGACCTAGCTATGTCATTATATATCATATGAATGAATTAGCTAGAATAGCTGGAATTTTTTTTACCATTGCTTTAATATGATATACTATAGTAAGGAAAAAGGTGCAAATGATAGACAGTAAATTTAAAACTGCAATTCTTATAATGAAAAAAATAAAATTATTGAAATTAAAATTGTGTACATTTGCTTAATATCAGTGGAACTTTAGTGTCTGAGTAAATTCTGTACTCTGTGATCTTAAATTGTGGAGTCAGTTGAGCTCAAATCCTTCTCAAATATTGAAATATCTCTAAACTATTAAAATACCTGAGCAATTTCAAGTGATTCAAATATTTTGATAAAAGAACAATTAATTTTCATTTTCCTCTGAAGAAGAAAATCGCTGTTTGTTCATGGATTTACTGTGACACAGGGCAAATATATAAATGACCAGTTCTAACAACTACTTGTTGACTCGCAGGCAGTTGCTGAATAAATTCCTTAATCTCAAATTCCCGTAAATCAGATCAGTGACTTTGTGACATATAAAGAAAATGCCTTAGTCAATGAAAACTTTACTTTATCTCGAGATTAGAATTGGAAGATTATGTTAAAACAGTTGATCTTAGGATTATGAGTAATTCGTCTATTTATTGGGTTAATCATAATGTTTCATCAGTTGACTTTATTAATTCTCGGAGCGTTTACGATCAGTTGTGTATAATGTGTATTCATTGGCCACAATTACTTCTTTTTATCTAAGAAAAGGTAAGCCTGCTTATAAAATTTTTAAATAAGATTTCATTTAATAGAAAGATTAAAAGAAAAGCACAGCTCCAAGGGTTTTTTTCTTTTTTTTTTTTTTTGCTTTGTATTATTTTTTTATGTCATAATTGTGTCATTGCTTTGGTTGTTAATATGATATGCAGTTTACTAACACTTTGTGATAATTTGATTAAGAAATAAAATGCACAAACATTTTTTGAAAACCCTGCTCAACATTGTGTTAAAATTTGTCTTTCTCATGTTCATTAAAAAAACTTAAAAAAGTGTTAAAAATTGTGCAAAATTGTCCTGGATTTTTATTGTAGCATTAATTAAGACATTGATTAAGCTAGAACATTAATAGGTTTGGAAACCCCAAATTGTTTAATCATCAATATCTATACTTTCAAGTTATACCCATCACTAAATATTTTACCTCTTCAGAAACCTCTCTTAGAAAAATGACACTTTTCAAAGCTGTAATTCACTTTTTGAATTTGTTAAATTTTAAAAATGTGATATTACATTATGTGTTTGCAATTAATTTCTCATTTGAGAGGCATGTATTTTGAGATGCTCAAGTAAAGAATAACTTTTTAACTCTGAGGTTTGATTTTACTTGAAAGAAGAAAATTAAAGAAACAGTTAAGTATGGAGTAATTTTTGATAATGATATGAATTAGATTTGGGGCATACTTAAAAAAGTATTTTACCTGTAATTCTTAATAAGTTAGATATTTAAGATATCTGCTCATTCTGAACAACATATAGATACTGTAAATGAAAATCAAGGCTGAGGACAGATCTTGATAACTTTAAAAATGTTTAAAAAGGAATAGCTAAAGGCAGGACATTTTTCTATTGCTACTTAACTACTCCAGTGTGTGTGAATTATCTAATGGTGGCTCCATGTTATAAGGATCTACAATCAAGGGTTACTTTAATCAGATAGGGAAAACAATTTAAAGGGAGGAGTTGCTACTGAACATCAAAAACTATGTCTGGCCAGTTTCCCCCTCAGGTACTACATTAGTACCCTGATGTGGTGGAATTGGTGTTATACCGATAATTAGGGACTGATTTGTGTTTTATTGCTGATCAACATATATAAGAGGCCACACAAACAGCTTTAGATAAATGGAATATGAAAAGTATATGTAAGTCTATTTGATTTGAAATTTATAATATTTCTGGCCAGTTTTGTACATACAATGTACATGTATTAAAATCAATTATTGTATTATTTATTTACAGGCATCTTTCATGTAGCTTTCATGATTAATACAATAATTGATTTGATTTTTTGTTGGGTTGGTTAATTTGTTCAGCAAAGTCCAAAACGAAAAGAAAGTTACTCTTTTGTATCAATATTACCGGGTAATTTATTTATCATGATGTATTCAGGTTAAATAAGCTACATGTAGCATGATATTCATTTTTTCACTCTGACATTTAATGAAAAATATCTGGAGGCCAGAAATTTTGAATGTTGGATATATATATATATGTATGTGTATATATAATTTCTTTCATTGTGACCAGTAACTTTAAACCCCTTACTCTTATTAAAGGTCATTTACCCAGCGACTGCTGTAATCCTGAAATTAAACCATAACGCGTTGTAAATCTCCATTACTTATCAAAGCTTATGAAACATTTAAATTAATACCTGTTTTAGACCCGCAATATTTTCTCAAGATCGAACACTGATATGTCACGTCAATCAGGCCCTGGAGGGTCTTGTAGTGTAACTGTCATCCCAGACCATAACTGTACAGGGACTGTTACATTGGCACGTCTTAATCCACACTTTACCTTTCAAATAATCCCTACAGGTTTTCATAAGTGATTTTTGAACTTTATGATAGTGTGTATCTGCAGGTTATAAATTGTCAAACAAAAAAACTTGTTTATTTTTAAATCATGAAGTATATAAAGGGTATCTTGTTTTGATACACTTATTTAAATTTGGGGAATGTTTAAATCAGTGTGGCAGCTTAATTTCACTCTTTTAAGACTTAATGACTTGTAGAGCAGTAAGATGAGACATAATTTTATGGCCAGAAATTTTGGGTAAATATTCACCATTTAAATTACCATATGTTCAATGCATGTCTAAAATTTATTATGTCTTTGGTTATTTGCTTTATGGTAAACTTATTGGACTCTTTATTATGGATTTAGCTATTATTTTACTTGAACAATAACAGCTAGCAATGCACCTGTCGGTGTATGATAACGAGCTTTTTTGAAATGTTAAAATGAAATTAAAGGAATTTTGATGAGGGACTGATCCTGTTTCATAAGTTTGGGAACACTTAATTTATCTTGGATTGCATAATATTGTTCATGTATTTTAAGTGTTGCAGATAATGTATGTAAAATACATGTACATAAGTTATTAGGAGATTATTTCTTATATAATCTATTCTAAATGAAAATAGTGATGGTTCTGTTCACTATAAATGCTATGACTTTGGTTTTGCATATGGTTTAAATGAATTTTCTAAATAATGAAAATTGTAAAAAAAAAAATAGATATATTTTCATTATTGATATTGTTTTTTTTACCAGTAACATTAATTTTGATTTTAATAGAATGAAGTCACTGACCCTTAAAAACACAAAAAAAATTATGGTCCGAGTGAGGTGATATACCTTTTTTTTTTCGTTACAGTCCTTGAGAAATAGGAGGGACATCAAATGATAAAACGATGCTCTCTAATGGCTCTCTAATTGAATTTAATCACATGCTTTCTATGGTTGCTGACAATATGACAATAGTTTAAATGTGGCTTCTGGCAATAAATTTTTATCTCTAAGTTGACAAGTTTTCTGGACCAAATTTGAGGCAAAGACTTGAGAAAATTAAACCATTGGACCTTTTTTGGTCCTCGTGTTTTAATATCCTTTGCCAGGCTTTAATGATTGAGTGCGTTAGAGCAAATGTCATTGTTCGGATGAAAAGATTATTGAAAATATAAGAAAGCATTGTGCATATTTGTCGAGGACCAAAAAGGATGTGTTAGGTTAGTTTAGTCTGCTAAGCGTTTTGTACTGTGAGAATTTAGGTGATAATTGGCTTTAAATGCCCAAACTGTATTCCTCATGGAGCCAACTTATACAACGTCAATGGGTCCATGAAAAAAAATTAGACTGGAGCATGTTGACAATTCCTTTATTACGGGGGATAATATAATCAATAGACATGCATCAATGATTCCTATCGGAGAGTGATATAGGGATAAAGATGAATTTACCGCTCGTTAAAGGCATGTAGATTTCTATATGTCTGTGTTTGGTGTATTAACACCTGTCTGTGCGTTTTTTAAAAAAAAGAAACTTAAGCAGTTGAAGTAATTTACATATAGTATAAGCAGAGGATAGGCCGTAAGCTTAGTGAAGTGGAATCAGTGTAAACAGATCTACTAAGATGTCATACACTCTCTCGCTTCTGATCTGACAGTTTGTCAAGTCAGCTGGAACATTTGAATTTGTGTGAATTTTTTTAATGACAGCTTTTTTTTGCTGTGCTAAATACCTAGAGATCAGTGAATGGAATACGTGATGATATTTGTAGTAGGTGGAGGTCTCTAGCCTTTGTCATTCTTTGCTCACAACCACAGAAGCTCCAGCACAAAGACACCGCTTGACTCACAGGGTACAAGTCTGTGTATTTCTCTGACCGAATCTGAACAGTGTTAATAATGACAGAACTTTGTCCAACTTGACCAGTGACTACAGTCTCACAAATTGAACAATGGATAAACAATTTGCTGTCTTTGTTATTCTAGGAAGATAAGTTTTGTCAGATTACAACAGGAGGTAGATTAGCCTACAGGTGGAATGCCTTTGTAGAGGTTGTGTATATTTCGTGGTCAGGTATACAGATACAGTGACAGACTTTTGATAAGTCTTTAGCACACCCTTTGTTATGATTGGCGTGACCCTTGTCCCATTGTACCAGCTGATCAGGCCTGGAATAGGATTATGTCCTCAATAATGGAACACTGTCCAGTACACAGGCACACGTCACTTCTGTTTAATGAGTGGAGTTGATTAGGTGACATTTCTTACCTGGATGTTCTATAGGTATGAGTGAAGATTCCGAGACCGTCCATCTGATGGACGATGACCAGGAGGACTCGGGGTACGAGGTACCCACACACGCCCCCCAATTCTCTAAAATGGTCTTCCCCTTTCCAAAGTAAGTACCAATAGATCACTTCTGATGACCTCTGATCTCGGACTAATTCATATTGTCTCCCCATCCATTCATTTGTTGGTATGGAGCCTTTTGTGATTTCCGTAGCTGATAAATGTGTTTCCTGAATGTGAATTTAAAGATTAATTAGGTGATCTGGTTTCTTGTTAATTGGCAATGGACTATTACAGTTGTTTCTTTTTAACTTTTTTCTCTGTAAAGGTATATGTTTAATATAATTTTTCTTTGATAATTGAAGAAATTCAAGACTTGAAAACTTTCAGATATTGATGTTATAAAAGATAAATAAGAATTTAGTTTATTATCTAAATAGACCTGTATTATGAAGTCTTTCAGTCATTGAACATTTGAGTTACTATGTCTTTGGTATATTTGCATATTTTTGACAGTCCATTCACAAATTATGGTACATAATAGGAGCTACATAAAAGAGCTTTCAACATTAGAGCACAACTTGTATTTGTCAGCTGGTTTCTTTTTTATTGGTTTGATTGCATTTCAACATTTAAATTAAAAAGAAAAAAAACATATGTTGAGTATTTGAAAGTACGTTTAATTATAACCAGAGGAAAACAAGTCTTTAATTGCTACTTTACAGTCAAAAGTTCATTTAACGGACAAGAATCAAGGGTGTAGTATTTCAGTCTTTTGTCTGGTCCTTTCTGACTGACAGGGTAGTCTAACAACCAGAAGGAAGTCCCGGTTTTAAATGACATTTAGAGACTTTTTTTGTCAACATGATTAACAAGACTTTGTCCTCTTAAGTTGGGATAAAATTTTAATTTATGTTTAGAGTTTGTTTAAAAAGTCTCAATATAATGGACTTAGAGACATTCTTTTCAGTGCATACTCCGATACTTTTAATAAGATTTTGAATGACAATTGCTGAAAGTGTTGCCGTGTATTGAGATGGGAAAGTTTTAATAATACGTCTATGGGCATTTGACAAATTAATGTTTAAAGTATCGATCGAGATGTTTATGAAAGGTATATATTAAAAGTAAAATTCCTGGCACATTAGACTTAAGAGAGCTAAGTTATTTATATTGATAAGTAGCAATTTTCACCGGAGAATGAAATTGTTTATTCAAACTATATTTCTATGTCTACCTTGGTCTCTTTGAAAGTTTATGTGCCAATAAACACTTCTGAACAATAACGTCAGAGTTTGGATTCTGAGTAAGTGAGTCATGCACCATTTTCTCCTACTGTTTTCTATTGAGATTGAAAATTGCTTTATTCATGATTCGTAAACTAAGACACAATGCATCATAATTTTAAAGCCTATAAAATTCAAGACTATGGAAACTGATGGATAGAAGTTATGACAATATAATGTTCATTTTAACTAATTATATTTGGGAAATATTTCAAGAATGTTTTATTTTTTTTTAATTCTGCAAATGCATCTGTAAGCAAAGAATTACTGGTATCTTTGTGCATTCATTTAAAAATGAAAATTTTTGTGTATAGACATAATTTTTTTCTTTTCTTTAAAAATGTTAAATGCGTAATTTCAAACAAATTTTCAATTCCCATTTTAAGATGCATTTTGTTGATGAATCTGTTTTATTCAAAAGACCAAATGATAATTTTACGGAAAAGGAAGTAACCGTGAAGAATGAGATTATAAGTTTTTTACGTTCATTATACCATGCCTTGTGATATCTCTGAAAAGTCCTTAACGCTCATGTATAAGTAAGGCACTGTTACTGTGTTACATTTATGCAAAATGCAGAGAGTTGTGCACATGGCCGACTACACTCCTCCTAAATGAATGATCTGCTCAGTGAACTCTGTCAGCTCTTGAAATCATCAGAAAATCTAATTACTGTCATCATTATGCAAGCCCTTTGTTAAATGATCGATGTGTTATTGTTTCTACATAGGTAAATTTTATTTTTTACTTTTGTAAATTTCAGACCTAATGTTATGTTGGAGATGCCTCAAGGAAGTCAACCCACCATTGGGCACCAGCCAACCGCTGGGCACCAGAGTATGAACTCGATCTCAAGTAACAGTACGGTACAGACTCAGTCACGGAGCGAGTCCGGCTCAAGTTCTCACGGGACTCAGTATCACGGAGCAGAGGCCTGGTGGAGCGTGGGTGAGTTCTTACAGCAGGGGATTACTCATCAAAGTGTGGGCTTGTCCCTGAACGGAAAAAACGATGACGATACATGGGATCTGAGTGATTCCATCGCCGACCTGTACATGGAGGCATCGGAAAGAGAACAACTGGACAGGGACAAAATCACAGAACAACTGAAGGAGTCAAAGACAGAGATTGATAAGAAGTGGTTAGAGAAGGACACAAATAACGGATTTGTGAGAGTGTTTCAGCCGGATTCTGAAGTGTCTAAAGTGTTTCCCTGTACTCTGTCTACGACAGCTCACAAACTTTGTTTACAGTGTGGTAGGCCCCCTAACTCCTTACATATACAACTGAATGGGGACATCATTCGGAGGTTGGAACCCTTTGACAGTCCCTTGGCCATTCAGAATGAGTACCTACAAACTGTCGGGTACAATGACATCAGGAAAATACAGCAGATGGGACTTTGTTCAGATCTGCCCTGGCTAGTCAAGTTCTATGCAGGTAAGATACAGGAATGTTTGTCTAGTTTCTATAGTGTGTCTGGCAAACAGTCTTTAAGGTATGAGATCATCGAGACAGTTTAATTTCGATTAACATTTTAAAGTGGTTATACCGGTCTTCGTTAATGTGACAATGTTATGATTTCTCCAGATTTTATGCATATCTTATGACACATCTTACAATGTACCTTAATACTGGTACATCCTCCTACAGAAATATGGAGTTAGAGTTTAGCCCATCATTTCTATGTTAAATAAACTTTTTTAATGCACATTCATTTTTAAGATGAAATTTAAATGGAATTGTAGAAGTCTTGAATGCTGTCATGTTGCACCAGGATTATACCACATTTTATTATGCTTCCTGTCAGTTTGTCTCTATATAACCCATACCCTACTATTCTCGCATAGTGGTCTAAGGATTTATATAGCGTAAGCATACTATGCCGAAATAGTGCACGGCTTTATTTACTGAATAAAATTCTTCCATGCACATGCCGGGAATCGAACTGACGACCATGAGATTGTCAGTCCGATGCCTTATCGATTACGCCATAGAGACGATCACTGATTGGTAGAAATTTATGAAATATATAAACTTAATTTATACAATTGACACAAGAAGGAGAAAATAGACAAATATTATTTGAAAACAGTTATATTATTCTAAGGAACTTTAGATTAATGTGTACAACAAACTTTCAAACTAATTACATACAGATCGTTAGATGAACTGATTTTATAGGGTATAAAACGCTTTTTTATATGACGCTTGATTGAAGGATGTAAAAGAAAATTATCAATGAGAATCGACGTCTGCAAACAAATAAGGCTTACGAACAAAACAGAAAATAAAGATGTGTTGCTTTGGGACAGAAAATCCCGACTTATTTAGAGAAAATACTAGTAACCAAAATAACTAAGCATGCAAACAATTTTAGCATGAATATTTTGAATTAGTTCTTGCAGGTGCGCTGTTTAAGCACCGATATTTTCAGGAAAAAGTCAAATAGATTGCCGCATAAATAATTAACAGTCAGCATAATAATAACAATAGTGTTGCATTATGCATGTACTATGCCTAAATAGTAGGCAGGGTTTGACACATAGTGCACTCGCCTCCGGCTCGTGCACCATGTGTCAAACCCAGCCTACTATTTAGGCATAGTACATGCATAATGCAACACTATTATATAAATAAAAGCACCCATTAAAATAAAGCTTTTCACATTTGATTAAAAAAGAATCAGATATGGAATGAATTTTACATTCAAAGGCTTTTCTTCTAATAAACCCAAAATGCTATTAACTGCATAAACTTGGGACTGTTTACTTGCATGCATGACTAATACAGTTGTCAACATTTCTGGCCAAAATTTGGTGTCCATTAGCTGAAATCTTTAAAAGATCTCTAGGTAAAATGTACATTAAATAGAAAGAGGGGACAGTATGGACAATTCTGAAATATAAAGTTGCTTTATGTGTGTGAGAGGATGGTGTTAAAGTGTTATGATGGTGATCTGTTGGATTAAGGGGTGTTCCAGTAAAATGCTGGCACCATCGTATCTAGATCAGGCGGGAGACATTCCTCCGTTCTAGTCTAACATTAAAACATTCGAATATTTCCCTTGCTTGACCATTTGTTTGTTTATCTCACCGATTTATAGTATTTATCAAGAAAAGGAAACTTTTGTGAAGCTGAAATAAACATATCTGATCATAAAATAAAGTGTTTGGATGCATGGGCATTAAAACCAGTAGTAATTATTTTAAAATTCTCATTAAGTGGAAGAATCACTTATATGATTGATGGAGTTGAATATTGAAAGATTTTTTTTGAAAAAATGTAGCATTTAAGATCAAGTATCCTACACCCATACAAGATTAAAAAAAAACAGCAAATGAACAAAACAAAACAAAAAAAAAAAGAAAAAAAAAACAAACAAAAATTCTGATGGTTTTATTGTTACACTGTAATTTGATATAAGGTTGAATCTTGAGGTGTCATTTTTCAAATTTAAATGAAAACTGAGCTGTCAATAGCTCTTCTCTAAATTTTCTCATGACTTCTGCATTCTTTATGAAATCAGATATTCTTATAACTATGGCATATAGAGGTTGTTGTGAAATTATTTGTAAATTTGTGGTAATATAAATACATTGGCCATGTTTGGTATAAAAAGCTTGCCCATTAAGATATCGTAACTTTTATAAATGTTTTAAATGAAATGGGTCAATCATAGAAACTAGTAGAGCAGAATAATTGTCAGTTTATGTGATTTTAAATGAGAACAGCTTCTTTGAATCTAAATAGAATAGGACAAATAAAAATATAGCGTACGTATGACATTCAGTGAAAAGATAAAATGTCAGTGTATATGTAAAATGTATGTTGTGTACATTTATGATTACATGTAATACAGTCAAATCTCATTATCTTGAACTCAGTTGGACTGAGAAAAATCACTGAGATACCCAAGTTATCCCATATATTCCAAATCACTGACACATCCATGGTATTCCTCTATTCGAGATATCTGTGCAGTGTTTGAGATACTGAAGTTCAACTATATGTATATACTCCCCCCTCTATGTGTATAAAACAGGTCAATAAATACCCATTTTACCAGGAGCTTGTCACGTCGTGGACTGATAATTAAGTATAAAAATGTTACTTGCATGGTTATAAACTCAGGAAAAATTGCAATCCACAAGTTTTCTTTTAAGCATTTTAAATGGTTAATTAGATTTTTAAAACAAGAGGCCCAGGGGCCACAGCGCTCACCTGAGCACATCAGCTAGGAAAAAACACATATCAGATCAGAACTGAAAGTTAATTTAAGTTGGGGGGGAGGGGGGGGGGCTTGAATTTTAACCCCCAAGGGGATCATAATTTGAACGAACTAGAATCTACATTACCTGAGGATGATTCCATACAAATATTACTAATCCTGGCTTTGAAGTACTTGAAAAGAAGATTTAAAAAGGTTTCCCTATATATTTCTATGTAAAACTTTGGTCGGCCATTTTGGCCACACCCTTACCCCGGGATCATGACTTGAACAAACTTGAATCTACACTACCTGAGGATAATTTCACATTAGTTTCATTTTTCCTGGCCCAGTGGTTCTTGAGAAGATTTTTAAAGATTTTTCCTATATATTCCTATGTAAAACTTTGATCGGCCATTTTGGCCCCGCCCTACCCCCGGGGGTCATGACTTGAACAAACTTGAATCTACACTACCTGAGGATAATTCTACATGATTTTCATTTTTCCTGGCCCAGTGGTTCTTGAGAAGAAGATTTTTAAAGATTTTTCCTATATATTCCTATGTAAAACTTTGATCGGCCATTTTGGCCCCGCCCTACCCCCGGGGGTCATGACTTGAACAAACTTGAATTTACTCTACCTGAGGATGATTCCACATGAGTTTCATCTTTCCTGGCCCAGTGGTTCTTGAGAAGAAGATTTTTAAAGATTTTTCCTATATATTCCTATGTAAAACTTTGATCGGCCATTTTGGCCCCGCCCTACCCCCGTGGGTCATGACTTGAACAAACTTGAATCTACACTACCTGAGGATGATTCCACATGAGTTTTATCTTTCCTGGCCCAGTGGTTCTTGAGGAGAAGATTTTTTAAAAATGCCAATAATTTTTCTCTAAATCATGATTATCTCCCCTTGGAAAAAGGCGTGGCCCTTCATTTGAACAAACTTGATCCCCTTCACCCATGGATACTTTGTGCCAAGTTTGGTTGAAATTGGCCCAGTGGTTCTTGAGAAGAAGATGAAAATGTGAAAAGTTAACGACGACAACGACGACGACAACAACAGACAACAGACAAATTTTGATCAGAAAAGCTCACTTGAGCCTTTGGCTCAGGTGAGCTAAAAATGACACACAAATCAAAGAGACTGATAGGTGTTTATACAGCAATAAAAATGTAGCAATTGCAGTCATGTTGTCAATTTGTTATGAATTTATTAAAGTATGCTAATATGGGAGATTCTTCACAACAATTAATACCCCCCTCCCCATTTGAAAAGAAATTGTTATTTCATTTTCTTTACAAATGGGTAAATACTTCTTGTAATTTGCTTCACAGTACATGTAACATATTGGTTAGTTCACAATTTAGGTCTGAAAATGTACATGAAGTATCTTATGCAGGAAATATATTGCAAATTTATTGTCATTTATTCAATTATTTTTGGTTAATCAATGTTTGACATTAATTTCATCATTTGATCAAATATATTTTATGATAAATTGAATAAATGACCTTTCTCACAAACAGAAGTTGTTCTGTCTTTCATTGCAAATGAACTCAGACTCACTGGAGAACATAACTGGTTGTTTCATGTTGACAAATAAATGGTATTTTATGGAAACATGATATGGAATGAAATTTAAAGTTTTCAAGTTATTGGAAAAATTTGGGTGACAAAAATATATTTTCTTTACTTCAGAACATAATAGGTGGAATCCGAATGAGCTAGACTAATAAAAAGGGTAGGGTTTACTTTTGACCTTAACCTTTCACCTTTTGGCCACAAAGAAGAAGTCTCAATAAGCCATTATCTGTGGTCCCCGGTTACTCGTCAAATTTTAAACTTTCATTAAAGAGCTTAAGAAGTAAATTACATTGTTCTCTTATGTCTGTAGTATATGCTCCAACGTTTAAAAATTTCAAATAATTGCAAAAAAGAACACGAGAAGCTGTGTTTTGAAGGTGGGGTCCTATGATTTTCATGAATATCAAAAGAAATTTGTGACAGGTACCCACTTCAGAGCTTTCGTAAACATCGAGCGCAGATTTGTTCAAAGTCGACATCAAGATATAATGTGTATATTATATTTATACAGATTGTGTGAAAATATCTTTGTTGAACAACATTGCGCTCTATGTATTCTACTTAAAAGTATCATGATTTTGAATCTGTTCGGTGAGTACATTTACATAGGATTAACCTCTTGTTGACCTGCTAAGAATAGATAATATGTCACGTGATTCCATTCCGCCACAGGTGAATACCTTTGGAAAACGTGTTTTCCGTAGAAAGCGACTCATGTAGCTTGTATTTGAAAAGTGCAGACACCAGCTTTCATTTTTTGAAATAAAAAAGGATATCTATAGACTTCGATGTAAAGCACTTATCTTAAACTTTGTCGATTTTCCGGGACATTTTTTAATTCTCATGCACGTAATCGCAATATTCCTGTTCATTGCGAAAAGCACACGCATAGATGTATACAAATACACATTTTTCAATTTCTTGCGAAAAAGAAACAAAAAAATCTTAAGCAGAAAAAGCAGAAAATACCAAAGACGTAATAATTTCTTCACATTTAATCAATCTAAACAAATGCACTCGCATACTGACCACTTCAATATTCAAAGCAACTTTATACTCTTGTCACGTTTTTGGATGCTAGCTGCATGCATATGATATTTTATATAAACTCAGAAAAACTTCGAATGGATTTATAATCGATAAGTAAATCGGAATATTCCTTGTAGAATTTACAGCGAAGTTAAGAAATATATATATACATGTCAGGCAGGTAGTATCTGGGGAAGGGTGACCCATTCTTTTCAGGAATAAATCTTGAGTTCTTCACCCCCCCCCCCCCCAAAAAAAAAAAAACAAAACTTCCATACGCCTTGACGCTGTTACAATATGAATTAAACACATTAATGTTACTGTTTAATTTTTCAAATAAAAAATGAATATTTTTTAAACTCCTAATTCTACATTTATTGTTTTGAAGTTTGGAGAAGGATTTCCTCGATCTTTTTCTTTAGCTTTATCAAATTCGTGTTTCCTGTTTCCTTTTTCTCAGCCTCCACCCTTTACAAAAGAATATGGGAGTGTATGTCTGTGTGTATTTACCGTTAATTATTATGCAATCGCTTGTGCTTTTCAAACAATCATATAAAAGAAAATTATTGTAGTGGGTAAAATATCTTGACATTTTATTCAAGAATGATAGATTTTAAAAAATTATTGTGATTAGGGGGATTTTCAAAACCCCGACAAAAATACCTCAAGAACTAAAAAAGACTCCCACCCACCCCAAGTTAAGAAGAATACGAATGATGCAAAATAAAATTCAAACGTATTGAAGATTATTATTACCCATCTTATGTTTTTTATTATTTCTTATCTCACGTTACAATTCATCGGTTTCTTCCTTTATATAATACCTAATTTAAATGTCTCCACCCATTTATATGTAATGGAGGAACCGTACTCTGTTCGAAAGAAAATGTTCCGGAATTTGTGTGTTCAGTAGGTGTTGAAAATCGGCTAATATTTCTTGATATTCCAAGTTATTAATAATGATTGTACAAAATGTTAATTAGAAATACTTTGTTATACACAATGAAACTAAAAATAATACCGTATCCTCATGTATATCCTGTAAAATAAGGGCAAAAAAGGGACCACGCTACTATACTTAAGTGGAAAACTCCTTTAGTAGGAGTCTTTCTTTTGCATTAGAGATGAAGTCTTCACTGTCCATTTTAAGTTTCTATGTAGAATCTAACTTGCGTAGAAATAGAGTTGCCATCTGGAAAACCATTTTATTCAGTAATATAAATTTCAGTTCAAATTAACCCTTAAAATGCTTCCTCAAATGCAAAAAAAAAAAGTTTCTAGCAACTTACTGACCCAAGTGACAACTCTAATTTATGTATATGAAATCTAGGAAAATATGCATGTGTACTGTATCCATACAGTGTTCCTATGTTTGATTTTTAACCACACAAGATTTCATAATACTATAATGAACATTGTTTATGCAAACCAGGACTTTGATATTCAGATTAATTACATCACGGTAAACAACTTCAACCTCAGAATAGAAAATTTAAACAAAAGAAGTAAACAGTTTTACGTACATCAGACAATTAAAGGTGGTCATTTTGAAAATTCATAGTAATCATAGTATATCCCCCCTTTATGAATGCATATTGCCAGCCCCTCATCTTTTGTAGAGAGCATACAAACAGATTTTAAATACATATAAGTGGAAATTTTACCCAGAGGCAAATTTAGCAATTTGTCCTGAAAATTTATTTTTAGCCAGATGTATTTTTAGCTATTCTAAAATGCTCACTAAAGAAACTATTACAAATAAAATGCAATTATTTTTAGTGATTTTCAGTTTTAGGGATCTCAGCACCCTCGCTAATAATGCCAAAATTAAATCCTTGCTAAAATTCTGCTTATAGGGTATCTGTCTTTTTCCATTTATAGTAATCTTTATAGTCACTAGACTTTTCAAACAACCACAAAAGTATATCTGTTTAAGATTTCATTCACTGAAATGTGAATTTCAAATATAAAATCATTTTAAACACATTGAATAGTAATTACCATATAACTTTATTGATTTATAAGGCAAAAATCAGAGGGCAAGGTTTATAGACAGAAATCTGCCCACATAGATTTGTATATGTTCACCAAGAAATGAAAAATCTATTGATCAACTGCATTAATTAATCTAAATAGCCATGTAATGCATACATATGTGGGGAAGTAATTTACCTTGGGGCTTTAAAGTGATTTAAAATTCTATCCTTCAAACCTCAACTTGCACTTAATGTTTGTTGTTGGGAAATTAATTTTGACTTATACATTTGTACACTGTATATCTTGTAGACATAAATAAATATGAACTTGATTGTCTACAGATATAGTGCCTACATTGTAATTTTTAAAAAATATTGGTATACAATATGTATTTGTATGCTAATACATGTATTATTCATTCATTTTTAAAAAGAATGATTTATATCTACATACATGTATCTTTTTTTAATTATAAGACTGAGTGCAACATCCTAAATTAACATAAAGTTTTCAGTGTTTTTGTGGTACGTGTACATGCATGGAAACTCATGAATTTATGTCCTTATAGAAATGTTAAAATTTCAAATCACACCAACCTGATTGTCTACCACTGCTTTTGAATCACATAATGAAATTCCCATACTAAACAAATACTGTAAACGTATTACATTTGGCTGTGTATTCTTTTTTAGCGCTTTTTGTGGAAAGAAACTTCTGCTAATTCAAGTACAGTGCTAAATGTCTTGCACATATATTCATAAATAAGAACATTGAGAAATGCGCTTAATCAAATCTACGCTAAATCATTCAAAAATCATTTTCTGCCAAATATCGTACACACTAAATATAATTCATTTACAGTATCTTTTTTCTCAGCAATCATTTGATCCTATGAAACTAAGAGATTTCAGGTTTTTTTGTTATTGATTTACAGAAACTTAATTTATGTTGAATTTTTTAATTTTTTAGGTAAGCCATTATCAGATGGCACCTACTCTAGGAATCAACTGACGTCCTATGCCTATGTAAGGAAGGGTAAACTCCTACATCAGTGGGTGAGGCGATTATGTGTGGTATCAGGAACAAGGCTACTCATCTACAGGGGTAAGGATGAGAGGCCTAGTTTATATAATATGCTCAATTTTCAGAAAGGGGATAAGGGTAGTATCATTAATATAGGGTATATAGTTCAAGCCCGTTAGAACTGACTGGAATTGCAATGCGTACATGTACTTCAATTTTCAGACTTGGTGAATTTAGGGGCATGGTGTCTTTTTTATGAAGATACAAGGGGGCAATTTTTGATAGAAAATTAGAAATACCAGTATCTTACAAAATTATAAAGAATTCAATGAACTATCACTATATTTTTATGTAAAAATCAGTAGATTTCAAAATTTTGAATCACACTTGCAATGAAGATTTCTTAAAGTTAAGAGCATATCCATGGCTATGAAGGACTTCCTGGACTAAATGGTTTAATTTCTAAAAATATGCTGTAAATGTCCTTTGTTTTGCAGACAAAAACAAGACCACTAAACCCACAGTGGTTCAGCTGGCGAAAGGTGAAGTGGAGGAGGTGACCATTAAAGGTCACGAGCGGTGCCTAAAACTGACCTCCACCCAGCAGGGGGATCGCTCCGTGTATCTGTCATTTGACAGTGACAATGACTACTCCAAGTGGCTCAGAAAAACCAAAAAGGTCAGACAAATGTTATGTACCACCCACATACATCAGATAGATTAAAGGAGTTTAAAAACTTTATTGATTCTCCAAAAATAAAGCACTGTGTTAATAGCTTTCTTTATATATAAGGTACTGATTACATACAAATCTCACACAATTTCAATTATTAGAAGCCTTGATTGTTTAGATGTGTTTCCTTCTGATTCTGATTAGTTCCTGCATTGAAATAAAATTAAGGGATAAGTACAATGAATGATCTCTGTAATTTTAGGCTACAGCCAAGCTGCCCTCTAAGGCTGACCTCTCTAATTGTCACTTGGAGTTCTTGCCAGAGACAGTATTTATCAATGAGGACCTGAGGAGCCTCAATCTGAGACATAATGCCCTCAAAGAGAGGCCAATCGAGGAGGACATCTATACCATCGGATGGCTGGATGACCTACCAAAGTAAGTACTTTCCAAATAATTTTAGCACATAATTTAACTAAGGAAATAGATGCTAAAAATGATTTGTCTATAGTTTGAGACATGTTAGGAAAATAGATTTAGTGTTTTAGGATGTACAGTAAAATTTGTATAATCCAGATAGTGTATTCCAAATACAATACTATTGTAAAGTGCAAGTCCCTTTCAATAAATTTTATTGTTTAAGATGTTGTCCAATTCGGAATGTTGTCTAATTCCACAAATTTCTCGGGAACCTATGGTATCCGCCACAGATTAGACAAGTTTTACTATTCTTGTAATATATTTTCTAAAGAGATCATGAAGCTTAAGCCTGTTTAATCTTTGATGCTCATTCTTACTTTTGTTCTTGACTTATTATAGGTTCCACAGTCTGTGCAGCCTTAACCTGGCTGACAACAACCTGTCTAACTTTCCTGTGGCTCTCTGTCAAATGAAGACCCTGACTGAACTCAATATAGCCAGCAACAAAATCAAGGAAATCCCACCAGAAATTGTCCACATGTCCTGGTAGGTTTGACTGAAACCTTGTGTCAAGTGTTATACTGCATAGTATTTAACAGAACACAGCTCTAGTAAAGAAGAACAGTCATTTGAAAATCAAAGACCTGGAAATTTCTTATTGATAAGAAAATTCCTCGTTGAGGAAAAGTTAAACTGTATATGTTTCTCTGGCATACAGTTGAAAATTAATTAATGTACATTTGCAAGTAAGAGAACTTCAAAGCATTGCCCATCAAGCCATTGTACTTAATTTCCTGAATCCTCTTTCTTTAGTCTTCAGATGTTACACATTCACAATAATCATCTTCACTCACTACCCACGGAAATGACAGAGATGAGCTCTCTAAAAATCATTGTTCTTGCCTTCAACCACTTCACCACAATCCCAGAAGTCCTTCTACAATCCCAGAATTCCAAGTCTAATTTGGACAGCATTATCATGGCAGGGAATAGGGTAGAAAAACTTCCACATGAAGTGTTATGTAGGATGCAGCATATAAAGAAGATAGATCTAAGGATGAACAGTTTATCACTGCTGCCAAGTGAGACCGCTAAATTTCATTTTCTGGAGCTTGTAACTCACCTAGATGTGAGAGACAACCACATAAAGGACCTAGATGTCCGCTCTCTTAAATCTCTGGAGTACCTTAACTGTGAGAGGAACACAATGCAGAGTCTACAAGTGAATGGGTCTTCTCTAAAGAATCTTTATGCTGCTGACAATGGTAAACTTAAAGTCCTTGGCTAATAAATAAGAAATCATTCTTTACATGTTAATAGATGGAGTAAAATACTCCCGCATAAAATTGCTCTCATTATTACCATCTTGTATCATATTACTTATATTCTCTATACAACTGTTTTGTAGAATTGGAAGTTTTCTCAGTCAATCCTAAACCTGAATGGCTTGTTAACCTAGATATATCAAGGTACACAGTATTTACAATATATATACCAAAAATCAGTGCAAAAAAAACTACTCTTGATTTCTTTGATATATTTGTTATTTCTACATGTTAACTCACATTTCCCCCTTGTCATTGTCAGGAACAAATTACCAAGCCTCCCTCCCTGGGTTGCTGAGTGCTTTTTCATGGTCAAACTTGATGCTAGTCACAATGCCATTACAGAGCTGCCAGCAAGGTGAGTAAGAGTTATCCCCCTTAAATTGTGTATTACTCAGAAAGGTGTACATGTCAGCTGACCTGTAACATCTTAGTAATGAAATTAGGACAATAGAATAAATCACAAAAGATTTTTCAAATACTAGGCGATTTTTCTAAGGGTTATATGAAATGACAAGTGTTTCTTCAAATCATTATAATTTTTTCCTGTTGAATGATTATATTTTAGGTTGTTCTGTGATGCCCGTAAGCTGAAGGTGCTGAATTTGAGTCACAACCAGATCTCTGAGGTTCCCACAGATACCCAGAACTGTGTCCTAGAGGAACTTCACTTAGAACACAACTGTCTGAACCTACTACCAGGTCATCTCATGTTGCAGGCCAACAAGTCAGTAATACCCTCCACTAAACTTGAGTTTCTCAGTAAATATCTATTGTAGTTTAATTACTGAATGTTCACAAGAATTTAATTTTTGTTTCAGGTTAAAGTATTTGAATCTGACAGGAAATAACCTTCAGTCAGTCCCACAATTCAGTTTTACCCACAGTTCCCGGCTCCAGGAGCTTTATCTGTCTGATAACAAACTGGAGGATGACTGTATCCCTTTCTTGTGTTCATTCACAAAGCTCAGAATCTTACACATAGCCCACAACAGGATCACAGAAATCAGAAACAGGTGGGCAGTATTATCATCTTAAATGTCATCTGGGGGGCTCACAGCATTTTGGACAATTGTTGACAAGAACCTTTGATACATTTCACATTTACATTTTTGAAAACAAAAATTATCTTTGGCACCAAATAATGTGGTTAGTTATTTACAATGTCATATATTTACAAAATTTCAGAGATGTATCAAAAAAATCTATCGAGATGAATGTGCAGAATACCTCAGAACTTTTCCCCACAGGCGTTGGGAGACATCCTAAGTTACAGGTCCTGCGAGCCAACACAAATGTACTGGGGGGCTCAGCATTTTGGAACTGCCCTGTGATACTTCACAAGATTTTTGAAAACAAAAATAACCAAATAAGGTAAGTGCAAGGAGATATATTACAAAATTTTGTTTTAAGCTTTATAAAGAACTCTACCCCATAAGGTAATATTGCGAGCCAACACAAACTACCTCAAGGAACTGCCCGACTTCAAGATGGCAAATAACCTGAAAGTAAGTGCAAGGAGAATATTAATTTTGTTTTAAGCATTATGCAAGAAGAATGTCATTTTAAGCTTTTTACAGAGGTATTACATTCAAGGACTACACCATGATTATATTTGTGACTGTTCTGCACTTTTTAAATGTTTATATATGTTTTGGTGTATTGATAGGTACTAGAAGTAGGATCAAACCGCCTGTCTGATGTGTCGGTCACCAGTTTAATGGGTTCCCAGGTCCAGCTGCTGGATATTTCTGGTAACCCAGACATCATGGTCAAGAGCAGTGAACTAAAGGGAATCAGGTAAAATACAAATTATAGTTAAAGATTATCAAGTCAAGTACTTAATATAGGTTATTTTGCAGTTTTGACTTCTGAATATTTTTTGCAGAAAACAGTTTAATTCATTGTGCATTTATGTAGGACAATTCCTCAAACATGAATATTAGTGGTCATGTATACTGTAGATGTACTTTTTTCCGCTGGGTCATAATTCCGCAGAATCACAATTTCTGTTTAATCCGCAGGTAGAAAATTATTCGGATTTCTTAAACTGTCACTATATGTCTTACATTAATATCACGTAGGCTTGGACAAATATCTGCGGAAAATGTGACAGTGTACATAGTGTAAAATAATACCACGCAGAATAAAGTACTTCTACAGTATATTTAAAACTGACAAATCAGGAAAGTTGTAAAACTGGTGTACAGTAAACAAATGAAGACTTGCAGATATAATTTTACTTATTTTCTCACATTTAAATCTTTTTTAGCACCATAAAGAAGATTTGTACCCTGGACATGAGGGGACAGAACCGCTCCCTGCTGGACCTCAGACAGGCTCCCTTTGAGAGTGGGGGGTGTCCCTGGCAGACGGGACTGTCCCAGACATCGGGGATGAGGAACAAGTAAGTACATATATGTATTCAATAGAAGATTTCTACAACATATCTCAAAAATTACATTAAAGCAAGTTTTTCAAGACCTACAATATATACATGTATAAATGTTAAATGAAAGTAAACTTCTTTGGTACTGTGTATTTTGTTTTCACCGTGTGATTTTTTTCATTCACTGTTTTGTCTATTTCAGACTGTGTGTGACAATACTTAACAAGCCCCAGTTCACCAATGAGGTAGAGGGTCTGTTTGGTGTGTTTGATGGAGGGAGGAATGAGGAGGTCATTAAGATCATTGATGATGTCATCAGTGACACCGTGCTGGAAGAAGCCAATCAGAGCTCGACCAGTCAGCAGAGTCTGAAGTACGCCCTGCTGTCTGTTCACAGGTAAAGTCTAAATCCAGGCCATGGTTTGTGGTTCAGTAAAAACATACTTTACAGTTGTATTACTCCATTTTAATTTTTTAAAAAGTACATGTTTATAAAATAAGTTTAATTTTTAGTTCAAGTAACATGTATGGGCTTTTAATGAGAATGTTTTAGAATAAACCATTTAGTACCAAATAACTTAAACTGGCTTAAAAATTGCAAGCAAGAGCTTTCAAGAAGCAGATATGTGGTTATAGTATCACTTATGACATTTAAAGTCCATGGTAAAATTTCGGATTCTTTTTCAGTAAACTGCAGTCCACCGGTCAAAAGGTAGGAGCTGCAGCTGCTGTGTGTCATCTTAAGAAAGAGAACAACCAATACAGTCTGTGTATGGCCAATGTCGGGGATGTGGAGGTGGTCATCTGTCGCCGAGGGGAGGTGGTGCCTGTCTCCAGGCGGTTCCTTGTGCAGAGTGACCCAGAAGAGTGCCGCCGAATCTGCAAGTCTGATGGAATAATTACAGAGGTTTGTACATCATAGAATGTTTGTATTTTTATGCTTATGCATTTATCTGGAATGTGAAAAAAGTATTTTTTCTAAACTTTGTTGATTGTCTGCAGGATGGCAGAGTGAATGGAGTAGCCTTTCAGACAAGACTCCTTGGAAGCAGTTTTCTGTATCCCCATGTTATCCCTGACCCCCATTTAGTGCAAGTTAATCTTCATCATGATGACCAGTTCATCATCATAGCTAACCATGGCCTCTGGAAATATGTAAGCTATGAGGATGCTGTGAAACAAATAAAAAACATTCCTGATCCTGTCATAGCTGCCAAACGCTTACAAGACTTGGCACAAGGATATGGATCAAAGGAGAGCATAGGGATTCTTGTCATCAGACTCTTGTTGTCAGAGAAGGAGAGAAACAAAATGAAGACCATTTTACAGAAGCAGTTTCAGGCTGAGCAGGAATTACTGGCTGTTCTGAAAGAGAGGGATGCATTCAAGGAGGAGGAGAGAAGGAAGAAGAAGGAGGAGATTGCTCATGAAGAAGATGGTGTTCCGATGGACATACTCAAACTGAAAAAGCATGGAAAAAGGAGAATGCAGGCATTCGATGTGTTTCATGAGGAAGGTGGTGATTATGTGAGCCTCGCTTTTAATTCTTCTGATTCCTCTGGTGGAAACTGGGAAGAAGTTCTCCAAAAGCGGCTTGCAGAAGAAGTAAAAAACAAAGAGCTTAGACATTTATTTGATGATGAGAACAAAGAGACTGATGTGATGAATGCGGCTTTTGAGATGGGATACAATGGCGTAGACCCCAATTGGAACACAAAAGACACCAGCAAGAAAAAATACAAAAAGAAACATCATGCACCAGATCCTAATGTGAACATTATCAGTCCTGTGAACTACCAACCAAATGCTTTGATTAACTCAAGTCCTTCTGTGGAATCAGTGGAATTTACAAAGGACTACAGTGGTTCTCAGGATGTTGACAGAGATGCTGTGTTATTTCATCAGATGCAAATAGCACGTTCCAAGAGTAAGAGCACAGATAGCATGGATTCCATACAGTCTGTTCCCAATAGTTCCTCATATAGGGATGTTCCTGTGGCAACTAAGAGTTCCTCTCACAGCATTGAGGTTCTCATTCATAAACCACACCATGGATCTTGGGAGGAGAGACTGGGAGGGTCTCAGCCTAGTTACTTACCCACACATCAGCGAAATCTCTCCCTCCAGGACTTTGACTGGGAGGTACCTAACTCCTGCCCTGACACTAAGTCTGTGGAGATGGAACATGTGAAACTTCATAAATTAGACAGGAAATTTGATGCTTCAATGAATAATTTGTTCGTAGCAGAAAATCAAGAAACAAGCCAACCCCAACCCCTTGACATTTCACCAGCAGGTTCTGATGAAACTGTGAAGGAAACCCCAGAAATATATGAGGATGAAACCATAGTGAGTGGCTACAAAACCTCCCCAACGATAAAAGACAAGAAACAGAGAGCTCCTCCACCCCCTCCCCTCCCTCCCAGAGTGTCACTGGAGGATCTGTATGCCAAACCTCAAAAGAAGGAAAGGAGAGCTGCACCCCTACCACCAACTAGTGTGTCACCACAGGGTAAAACCACAATCCAAGCCCAGGAAGAGGAGGGAAGATCAGCTTTCCAATCTGTGAAACCAGTTGTTCCTCCTAGGACTTATCTCGCTAAATCTGAGGCAGGGGACAACAGTCAGATGAAAAAGCTAACAGACTCCCTTCTTGCTTTGCAAGGAAGAGATGTGTTAAATATTCGTGCCAAAATTTCCAAGTTTGAAATCGGTGACCACCAACCCTCAAACGTCCCAGAGAGGAATGTGGATTATATTCTAACTTCTGAAGGTAGTGAGACACAAACAAGTGAAGATAAAGGCTATTTAAAACATGAACCTGATGTGAATTCCAATTCTCTGACCAGCCTCCAGAACTTTTATTTTGCTCTACAAAATGGGACTCATATGAACCAGTGTCACGATGAAGCTGGTAATCCATTTACCACACCATCAATGGAATCTCTCCTGCACAAGTCATTGAGCCAACAGAGTGTTATTGAGACATACTTATAACCACTACTTAACCATCCTCAAAATGGAATTACCAAATGTTTTGTTGCAATATATAATATTCATTCTTACGAATTTTAATATAAGTAAAAATTAATTTTACAGACATTCTGTTTAAAGTGACCTGAGTTTTATAAAATGAATCTGGTTTTTATATTTTAAATGTCTGAAATTTTTTTTTAATTGTGCAATATGATTTTCATGTTGAGAATCAATGGATTAAAAGTTAAGAATATATACAAGGATTTACTTTGTCATTTGATTTGCAAAGTAAAATCAGAGGTTATTTGATATCAGTCATTCTCTTAATTTAATGTAACAAAAAGGAAGACCTACCTCAGTCATAAAGCTATCATGCAAAGACACACAAACTACATGTTGAGCACTGGATATGCTTGTGACAGTGAAATTATTGATAGAGAAAAAGAAAACCTATTAAGCAAAGCACTATGCTAAGGCCTTGTAGGGAGTATTCGCTGTAAATATTACCATTAACTTTTTAAGAACTAGAACAGGTAACCTGGTTTCATTATTTTTAAATTGTTCTTTCATAAAATTTTATCATGTAATGGTGTCAGTTCAAGGCATACCATAAAAATCATTAAACTAAAAGAGAACTTTATTGTTTTAATGAGAGCAAACAGCCATTTTAGCTAATACTTCCCCATCCCCCCCCCCCTTCAAATTGGGTTGCCTCCTTTGATGATTTATCTTTCGTAAACACTGTGCACATGAACATGTAGAGTAAAATATACATTTTCTTCCCTGTTTTTGCACTATATACATAATATCTTTTTTTAAAAAAGGTTAGCCAAGAAAGCAATTCCAAATTAGCATGACTGAGCTTTTTTTTTTCTTTTTTCAGAGTAATTATTTAGGTAGAAATATCCACTTCATATTTGTTAAAGGGATTCAGAATGGTTCTCTAGTCTATACTATCTTACTATAAACTAGAAGTACTGTGAGTAATGAGCTGACTAAATGAATATAATGGCAGTGTCCATGTTTTGCTACGGAAAATTTTCCTTTATATTGTTTTACGGTAACATAAAGAGGAATAACTCGTGGTTTCCCATGTTATTCAGAAGCCGCCACACCTCACGTCATAGGTAAGAATATGTTTTGCTATGGAAAACCCAAAATATGTGTCGGATCAAAAAGTAAAATAAGAGGTGCATAATGGCATTATGAAATAAAGATTCTTTGAAAGTCTCATCAAATTTCATTCAGTGGTATGAGAGGAGTTGTGGATGAGATGGGTATCCCAAAGCGTAACACACAGACAGATGTACAGACAGACGGACGGACAGCTAGACAGACGGACGGACATCCCGATATACCCTCCCGCTTTTCATGTGGGGGTATTAAAATATTCGAATTAAAGCTGCTTTTGGCAATTGCTTATTTCTGCTTTTTTTTTTTTGTAAAACGATGAAGAACAACATCATGATATTTGGTTATTAATACTAATAACAACTTCATTTTGAGAACTTTTGTCTACTTTCGGCACCAAAAAGTAATTTCAGTCGATCGGAAACTTTATTTGCAAATTGCACTACTTGAAGATGGCATATTGGAAGACCAAATTGGCATAAAATGCAATATAACTGTATATAATTACATGCAGGGGTAACACAACGAACAACAATTGTTTATTTGTAACTGATTCTCATTTCAGATTAATACATTTACCAGAGATGATATTTCATTTTCATAGTACTTACGAATGTGTATAATATTACGGACTATCAAAATATGAAGTAATATGCTTTAAATTTTCACGATAAAGTAACCAAATAGGTTATGTAAGTATTTCGTAGAAAAAATATGCCAAACAGAAATTAAAAATAATAAAACTATATTTCCTCTTAACAAGATTTTTTTTGGTAATAACCACGTGTCTGCTTTAGTTTTGGCGATATAAATGTAATCACAATCTCTTTTGTCCATTTTGAAATGTCACGTTTGAAAATGCTCGATGCGTTTCAATAATATTGCAGTGTGCATGGAAGACGGCTGGGCGTATTTTAGTTTGGTAAGTTCAATAAAAAGTCTCTGTTGACGATGATCATTTTTAATACCTATGACAGCAGAGAAATAAAAAAAACATTCAGTTTTATCAAGCATTGCTCTAATTTAAACATGACGTGTACGAGAATTTTTCTCAATGGACCTCACTTTATACACGCTTCGCTGCTTTCGTCCGCTGACCAGAATTCATGTAGGGTTATAGCCAGTGAATTTGACATGAAAATGACGACCGGATTGACCAAGACTTCACTGGAGGAAGAGAAATGTGATGATATATTGACTTGCTCGATATGTTTGGAGTTTTTCAAGGAGCCCAAATATCTACCGTGTTTACATACATTTTGTAAGTCGTGTTTGCAAGCATATATATATATAACAACTGACGAAAATGAAAACGAACTACCATCCGATGTATGTGAAAAGAACGATAGCTGTAATTCTTCAGGTGAGAGAAGCTTTTTATGTCCAGTGTGCAGAATGAAAATTGAATTCGACGAAGAAAAGGGTGACAGGAAAACCTGGATCGAGCACATACCTAGCAACCATTTTATCGTCAGCATGTTGGATAAACGAGCAATAAGAATAATGGAAAAGACGTGTGATCCATGCTTAACACAGGGGGTACAGGAGAAAGCAGTGGCTTGGTGTTTAAACTGCACGGAGGCGCTCTGCGAAAAATGCAAAGACTATCACAAGAAATTTAAGCTTTTTCAAAACCATCGAGTCGTTGGACTTGGTGAAGAGGTTCTAGATAAGTATGACGTATCTGGATTTATACCTTGTCTCGAACATCCCTCGGAACCTGCTAGAATCTACTGCAAAGATCACAAAATTCACTGCTGTACTATTTGTGCTGCTGTCGATCACAGAAAATGTGTTGATGTTTGTTCAATTGAAAATGCTGCAAAAGGAGTGAAACAAAATCCAGAAACTTCTAAGTTGATGAACCGAATAAGTCAGCTTAAAGCCATCTTAAGAGAAATGGTAAGTTCTGGTAAGGGGGCGAAGGTAGAACTACAGATAGAGGCATCTGAAATTGAGAAAGTTATAACAGATTTTCAGGAAAGTATCAAGAAACATCTAGACGAGGTTTGTTTAACCTTGCTTGATGATCTAAAATCTCAGCTAGAACTTTGCAACACCCAGATAGGTTCCGACGTGGACGGAATGTCACATGTGCTGTTAAGAGTGGAGCAGATAGGTTCAGTGCTTCAAACTTGCATTGACTGTGGTTCAGATGTAGAATGTCTTATTGAAAGAAAAAATGTCTGTGAAATTGAAGAGAAACTCCAACACAGCACAAAGGGATTTTGTAACAAAAATTTCGTCTGCGCTCTAAATTTCAAACCAAGCCAGTCGTTTTTTGCTCTGAAAACCTCTCTGAACTCATTAGGTGATCTTGAAGTGGAAACAAGAAATTATGGCACACTGCCGTCTGTTTTTAGAAATGGAGAAATTTCTTTATTGAAACTTGTGAGATTTGAAAAGAAGTTTGGTTTCTGTAATGCCGCATTTCTAAATTGTAACATCATAGTGATAATAATCCAGTACTCTAGCTTTATCCAGTTTTGTGATACTGAGCTGAATGAACTTCCAGACAAAGTCGTGGAACTAGAAGACTATCCATGGGACTTGTCTGTAGACGACAATGAAGGCATATTTATCTCTCTTCCTAAAAAGCAGAAAGTTGTTCGGATCGACGCGAACACTTGCCAGAAAACGTTCGAGATTCGTACTTCAACGACATGCCAAGGAGTGTCATACCTTTGGGACACGATATTTTATTCCGACCGTTGGAAGGTTCAAAAGAAAAGTGCTGAGGAAGAAACTGAAATATATCCACATAGCACAAAATTACTAGCATGTGACCCAGTTCACAAAAATATTCTTTTTGGGACTAGTCATGCTGTAATGAGCTATTCCATTTCAGAGCAGAAAACAAAGGAACTCTATACCGATTCTGAGCTGAATGCCGTAAGGGGTATTACTACTGACTGTGTGGGTAACATATATGTCGTCCATGATAAATCAAGTTGTATTTTCCAGTTGTCTCACGACGGACAATTAATTAGAAAAATAAATATCCCTGCCGTAGGAGTAAATAAACTATGGAGTATCAACGTCGAGAAAAATGGAACAAGATGTCTTGTCACTAACACAGAGGGAGCAGTTTTGCTTCTTGATTTATTACGTCACAAAAATAGACCTGAGACAGAGAATAGATAGAATTGCATGTTTGGAGTGTGTTCGAATGCGCTAAATGTGAAGTGGTTCCTTAACAATGGACAATTCATTTACCGTCTGACAGAAAAAGCAGTATCAGAAATTAAATTGTATAGCTCTGGACAAACGAAGTATGTAAAAATAAGTTTGAATATCATAAAAGAACGATTTATTTGATTTGTTTAATTTTTTTCGTCTCTTTCCACTCCAGTGTCTGATGTTCACGACTATAGATCATATGAAGATAACGAATAGTATTCACGCTACAAGTCCCCTTAAGAAACTGGGAGGAGAGCAAACACGGGTCTCAAAAAAAGTGTGATCAGGTGCCATGGAAGAGCGAACATCCCCTTCTGACCGTCATCTGCCGTGTGCTCTTTGTCATGATCGGCAGTATAGTGTGAATTTTAAGCAATTGGTAATGTTATAATATCCTGCAAAATCTGTATACTGTACTTGTAGGAAAACCTCCAAGCACTGATGCTACCATTTCTTATTCTGTTTCAAAAAAGGTTATAAACAGAATAAGCTGTTAAGCTTCTCAGTCAAAGTTAGGGTCATTCTGAAAATTTCTTGAAAAAAAAATCATAAATACTCAGTTCAAAGAATTTATATATTTTGCGAAGAAAACAAAAAAAAAAGTTGGTTAATCATTAAACACATTTCTATTGAAACGAAGGCATTTGTCGATTTTATTTTCGGCCTTTTTTTTGAGCTCACCTGGAATTTTTAAAAATCTTTTTCTCAAGAACCAGTGGGCCAGGAAAGCCGAAACTTATGTAAAAGCATTAGGGGATAGTGTAGATTCTAAATTCTTAAAATCATAACCCTCGGGGGTAGGGCGGGGCCACAATACGGAATCAAAGTTTTACATAGAAATATAAAGGAAAAATCTTTTAAAATCTTCTCAAGAACCAGTGGGCCAGAAAAGCTGAAACTTATGTGGAAGCATCCTTGGGTAGTGTAGATTCTAAATTGTTAAAATCATGACCCTATGGGTAAGACGGGGCCACAATAGGGAATCCAAGTTTTACATAGAAATATATAGGAAAAAATCTTTAAAAATCTTCTTCTCAAGAACCAGGGGGTCAGTAAAGCTGAAACTTATGATGAAGCATTTTGGAGTGTGGATTGGAAGGAAAAATCTTTAAAAATCTTCTTCTCAAGAACAAGTGGGCCAGGAAAACTGAAATTTACGTGGAAGCATCCTGATGAAGTGTAGATTGTAAATTGTTAAGATCATGACCTCCCGGGGAGGGTAGGGCGGAATCCAAGTTTTACATAGAAATATATAGGAAAAATCTTCTTAATTCTCAAAAACTAGTGGGCCAGGAAAGCTGAAACCTAGATGGAAGCATCCTGGGGTAGTGTATAGATTCTAAATTATTACAATCAAGACGGGGGGGGGGGGAGGAGGGGCACAATGGATATAAGAAGAGGGGAAATCTGGTAAAGAACTGCATCACCAAGGTTACTCAGGTGAGCGATGTGGCCCATGGGCCTCTAGTTTTTTATTATTAGTGGATTTTGAAAAGGATATTTTCAGACAATGATATACATATTGTCTCACAAGCATGATAATAACGTCATGTCCATCTGGTCTTTAACCGCCAGTCCAGATACGAATACACGTTTCACAGCCAATCTAGATGTACTTTCAGTAGCCTTGCAGTAGTTGTCAGTTATTGGAAGGTAAATCGAATGTGTCGTGCCAATACTATCATAATAAAAATTGCAGTAAATATAAGAATGAAACAAATTTTATGAGTTTGCAGTTTTAGTCTGTCAAAAGATAACGGACGCGAGCTCTACAGATAAAAGTAATTAAAGAGGCTGATCAATAGGAATTAAACTTTTAAATCGGACGGTCCCACGAAATAGATCATGGGAATGCAGCTGCTACTTGCTTGTTTATGAAAAGATGTATTTGGTTAGGGTGAATAAGGAACCAATGGTAATCAAGTGACCAGAGGTCAGATATTTGAATAAATTAGCTACAACAAATAATATTTAAAGATTATGCAAAAGATTGGAAATTATTTTAAAAGTGCATTAGAAATTTTAAAAGTACTCAAGGTCAGAATAATGGTAATTAAAATTCAAATAAAAATTTAAAGTAATTATTGCAAATTTTGAAGGAGTTACAAATATGGAGATGTAAATTGACAAAGGTACACCTAGTATAAAATGACTGGCCGGGATAGACAGGACTTCAGTGGAAAGCTGAACTTGATTGTCTTGGTTACATTTTATACAGGTGAGATTATTTTGTAGACTTGCGCACGTTTTGATCAAAATTATTAAATTTTCACATGGCTTATTTTATTAACAAGTTAAACTTTTTATATTATAAGTAGTTATATTTCTAATAAGGTTTAGTATATTTTGAAAAATTATTTATTGAAATTATAAATATTAGAAATAGAATGTTTACTTTAATAAAGAGTGGAAAGCTGAATCTTGACTGTCTTGGTTGCATTTTATATAGGTTGGGTAACATCTCCACTCCCCAACAATGGCCGCCGCTCTGGTCCACAAATTTAAAAGGAATTATAGAATAAAAGAGAGAGCGCAATTGAGCCATCCTGGTACCTCCACAAGCCAAGCGAGTTTACGCGAGTTCCAGTCAATGACCTAATCTGATTATGATGGAAACAAAGAAGAAAATTTTCCCTTTATTTTTTTTATAATATAAAAGTAATTAAAGAGGTTTATCATAATAAAAATTGCAGTAAATATAAGAATGAAACAAATTTTATGAGTTTGCAGTTTTAGTCTGTCAAAAGATAACGGACGCGAGCTCTACAGATAAAAGTAATTAAAGAGGCTGATCAATAGGAATTAAACTTTTAAATCGGACGGTCCCACGAAATAGATCATGGGAATGCAGCTGCTACTCAATTGCTTGTTTATGAAAAGATGTATTTGGTTAGGGTGAATAAGGAACCAATGGTAATGAAGTGACCAGAGGTCAGATATTTGAATAAATTAGCTACAACAAATAATATTTAAAGATTATGCAAAAGATTGGAAATTATTTTAAAAGTGCATTAGAAATTTTAAAAGTACTCAAGGTCAGAATAATAGTAATTAAAATTCAAATAAAAATTTAAAGTAATTATTGCAAATTTTGAAGGAGTTACAAATATGGAGATGTAAATTGACAAAGGTACACCTAGTATAAAATGACTGGCCGGGATAGACAGGACTTCAGTGGAAAGCTGAATCTTGATTGTCTTGGTTACATTTTATACAGGTGAGATTATTTTGTAGACTTGCGCACGTTTTGATCAAAATTATTAAATTTTCACATGGCTTATTTTATTAACAAGTTAAACTTTTTATATTATAAGTAGTTATATTTCTAATAAGGTTTAGTATATTTTGTAAAATTATTTATTGAAATTATAAATATTAGAAATAGATTGTTTACTTTAATAAAGAGTGGAAAGCTGAATCTTGACTGTCTTGGTTGCATTTTATATAGGTTGGGTAACATCTCCACTCCCCAACAATGGCCGCCGCTCTGGTCCACAAATTTAAAAGGAATTATAGAATAAAAGAGAGAGCGCAATTGAGCCATCCTGGTACCTCCACAAGCCAAGCGAGTTTACGCGAGTTCCAGTCAATGACCTAATCTGATTATGATGGAAACAAAGAAGAAAATTTTCCCTTTATTTTTTTTATAATAAATGGTGGAGAAATGGGGTCAGATTCAGAAGGATGGAAATAGCCTTTAACAGTTCTCAAAGTCACCCCCAGACGAGGATTAGTGCACAATACCGCTGAATTTTCGAACAGAGGACTTGAAAACAGGCGAGACACAGACCAGAGCCGTCAGACGATCGACGAGGCCTGACGCTCCCTGGGCAGAACAAACTAGGACTAACAAGTTTTAACAAACATGTGCCGACCGCGAGTCCATTGAAACACGAAAAGAACTAAAAACTCTTGCGCTAATAGGACATTTGATACGACTACTACCAGTCCGTCCCTTGGTGGCCGAAAAAAGAAACAATTTCATTTATTTTAAAATAAACGACTATTGTTCTGTGCTGGAGCCCCTGCTTCCGAATCCAAGTGCCGATGTGAAGACGAATTACCCAGTTGTTGGACAAATTAATTTTTGAGTCCTACGAGTAAGACTTTGAAAAAAATTAAGTGCAGGTAGGATAGCATTTTTTTTTCCAAATGTCTACCTTTGATTTGCAAGAATTTTTTTTTACGACGACGGTATTTAGAATGTTGTCATATTGTTGATAATTTTTTTTACATGGGCAATGTTTTATGAATTACCTGAAAATAAGATTGATGACGCTTATAAGCAAATATAAAGGGACTTGCTAAATAAGAGATGAAGTGTTCTTAAAGTTACATTTATGAGACGAAATCAAGAGAAAAAAACCTATAAATGGGAAGGGTCATAAAAGTAAAGGAAACCCCGTTGACCATTTGTATAGGTAAAGCACGTTACAAAAATAGATCCTAAATGGGAAGGGCCTTGAACGATAGTAAAGGAAAACCCTGTTTCCATTCATTTAGGTTGAAAGTAAAGTCACAAACTCTTGCGAGAGGATCTAATTAAAACCTAAAATGGTAATTTTAAGGGCCTTGAAAGATAGTAAAGGGAAACCCTTATACCATTCATTTAGGTTAAAGGTTAAGTCGGGACTTTATAATAGTCAACCAAACATGAGGTTTGGTGAGAAAAATTTGAAGGAAAATGGTCGTAATGGAAGGGATAAAGTTATTTCCATTCTTCCGAAATAATTACGAGAATCATTCCTCCTTTCATAAAGACTTAACTTTTACAGATTTTTTTTCAAAGCAGACAAAAGAGCAGAGTATGCGTCAGATGTAGGATTATTATGCATGTAAATGGAAAGTGTATACCTTTCGGTACTGTGAAAAACATATTTTTTGTCAATTGTGAAAAAGGGGTATATCCAACGACAATAATATTTTTGTGAAAAGTGTTTCAATCCATACAATGAGAGTGTTAACATATATTCCATGAAGTGTCAAAGCATTTGTTTTTGTGAAT